TAGTGTTTCTTTATTAATTTTTAACTATATATAGTGTTAGTCTCTGAATCATACACATCTCATTAGCAACATAATTACTTACATTAAGCATAAATTACTCTCGTTTATTTACAAAGGCTTGTTTAACCTACCGTGGCTCTAAACGTCCAAGATAGAAAAACTACTTAATAAAGGTAGAAGCAAAATAGGTAGAAGCAAAACTGAGAAATTAATATGGATTTGGATCTCCATTAATTAAACAAGCCTTCTTTCTCAATAATTAAGGAAGTTAATGCTCAATTTTTTACTACCTTACATGAGTGATTTATATTAAAAAAATTTGACACACCAAGCATGGCATTTTCGTAAAAAAATGTAGAAAACAGGCCTCCTTTACAATGGATATCAGTTACTAAACCCGACGTCAACTTCATCTTCCCCTTCTATCCATTCTTCTGACAGTCGCCAGCGACTGTCTTCTTTCTTCCTCCGTCCGGTCTTCCTCTCCTTCGCTATGGGCTCCATGGCTTCACCCGTTCTATTGTTATGCCTTTTTCTGCTTCTCACCTTCATGGTCACTGCTAAAAAGACGTATATCATCCAAATGAAACACCAAGATAAGCCGGAATCCTTCCAGACCCATCACGACTGGTACACCGCCAGCCTCCATTCTCTGTCCTTCGATTCCAGTTCACTTCTCTACTCCTACACCAGTGCTTTCCATGGCTTTGCGGCCTCTCTTGATGACGAACAAGTTGAATCTCTCCGTAAGTCTGAATCTGTGCTCGGTGTGTATGAAGAGAGTGTGTATACACTCCATACCACTCATAGTCCTCAGTTCCTTGGTCTTGATTCTCAGTTCGGGCTCTGGGAAGGCCACAGCACCCAGGACCTTGAACAGGCCTCGAGAGATGTAATCATTGGAGTTCTCGACACCGGAGTCTGGCCGGAATCTAAGAGCTACGATGATACGGAGATGCCGGCGATTCCAAAGAAATGGCGCGGCAAGTGCGAGTCGGGTTCTGATTTTAGCCCCAAGCTTTGCAACAAGAAGCTGATTGGTGCGAGAAGTTTTTCGAAGGGTTTTCGTACCGCTACTGGCAGTAGTTCGAAGAATCCGAAGGAGATCGAATCCCCGCGCGACAGGGACGGTCACGGGACTCACACGTCGAGCACTGCAGCGGGATCCCATGTAGCCAACGCTAGTCTGCTCGGTTACGCCAGTGGGACAGCGCGTGGGATGGCCACCTTCGCCCGCGTTGCAACATACAAGGTTTGCTGGAGCGCCGGTTGTTTCGGGTCCGATATTCTCGCCGGGATGGATCGAGCCATCCTCGACGGCGTCGACGTGCTCTCATTGTCTCTCGGTGGTGGGTCCGGACCGTACTACCGCGATACGATCGCCGTTGGAGCTTTCACTGCAATTGAGAAAGGCGTTTTCGTCTCTTGCTCCGCCGGGAACAGTGGACCGAACAAGGCAAGCCTTGCCAACGTGGCACCCTGGATCATGACCGTCGGTGCCGGAACTATGGATCGGGATTTCCCTGCTTATGCTACCCTCGGCAACAGAGTTCGGTACACCGGCGTGTCTCTTTACAGCGGCAAGGGATTAGGAAATCAACCAGTGGCTTTGGTTTATAAAAAAGGAAGCAAAGATATAGGCAATTTGTGTTTGCCCGGTTCACTCGACCCAGCCATGGTCCGTGGGAAGGTGGTGGTCTGCGACAGGGGAATAAACGCACGTGTGGAGAAGGGACAAGTGGTACGCGATGCCGGTGGTGTGGGGATGATACTGGCGAACACTGCCGCCAGCGGCGAGGAATTAGTGGCCGACAGTCACTTGTTACCGGCAGTGGCGGTGGGAAAGAAAGTAGGGGACAAAATCCGAAACTACGTGCAAACCGACCGAAAACCAACAGCTGTGCTTGCCTTCGGTGGAACCGTGCTGAATGTACGACCGTCTCCGGTGGTTGCGGCATTCAGTTCCCGAGGACCAAACATGGTGACGCCGCAGATCTTGAAGCCGGACGTGATTGGACCGGGGGTTAACATTCTGGCCGCCTGGTCAGATGATGTCGGTGTATCCAGCCTGGAAAAGGATACCCGGAAAACCAAATTCAATATCCTGTCAGGTACTATCTCTTACGGAAAATGCTCATATCTATCTCCAGAATAAATATTTTGACATAGCTTCAACATTCAATCTTCCTTTTTATGGGTTTTGCTTAGTGATTGGTTTTAGTCAAATTGTGAGATGGGCGAATGCCTAAAGTAAAATCTATGAAAATTCTCTGAATCGATTTAATCTCAACATTTAGAACCCCTCGTCACTAATAAGAGTCCATACTCAATAATAGTTTTGTTCCAATTAAGTAATTTTTCATGAATTCCATAGTGTGACTATTTCTTACTTTAAACTTAAGTGATGAATAGGTGATGTTACATCAAAAAGAAACTCAGAAGAATCCAGATGAAAAGTTGAATAGTGGAATGAGCTGTATTGCATGTGATGTTTTGTATAATGTGAAGAATGATTATTTTGCTTTATGCAACTTTTTAATTTAATCCTGATTGGGGGAACTTGAATTTTAGAACTTTAATTATATGTTTTTGGTTCCTTGAAAATGCAGGAACATCAATGTCCTGCCCACACATCAGTGGGCTAGCAGCGTTGCTGAAAGCAGCGCACCCCAATTGGAGCCCAAGTGCAATAAAGTCCGCCCTCATGACCACAGCCTACACCCAGGACAACACAAATTCCCCTCTCCGTGATGCTGCTGATGGCTCCTTGTCTAACCCATGGGCTCACGGCGCCGGCCATGTTGACCCACAAAAAGCCCTCTCCCCGGGTCTAGTCTATGATATCTCCACGGCAGAATACATTGCATTCCTCTGCTCACTTGACTATGCTGCCGAACATGTCCAGGCTATTGTCAAGCACCCGAACGTCACCTGCTCGACGAAATTCAAAGATCCTGGCCAGCTCAATTACCCTTCGTTCTCTGTCTTGTTTGGAAACAATAGGGTTGTAAGGTACACTCGCGCACTGACGAATGTAGGCTCAGCTCCATCCACCTACAATGTGACAGTCACTGGGCCTTCAACCGTTGGAATCACGGTAAAGCCCACGCAGCTTGTGTTTAGGAGTGTAGGAGAGAGGAAGAGGTACACAGTGACGTTTGTTGCAAAGAAGGGGACCAGTCCATCAACCAAACCAGAATTCGGTTCCATTGTTTGGGGCAATACCCAACACCAAGTAAGAAGCCCAGTCTCATTCTCATGGACACAATTGTTGGAGTTTTAAGGTTAATTTCTGGGTAAGGACACCAGTTTGCTCGGAGAAAAACTGCTGGACCGCCCACAACCAATTTGACAAAAGACCGCTTTGCTGAAGCTTGTAGTCCAGAAGAATAATTCGGATCATATCGCAGATTTTATTTGCTTCTCTTGCATTAGTATAACCTATTGTAATTGGATAACATAAATACCATTTCCAGTCCATGAATCATTATAATCATAACAGATGTCTGTCTTGTTAAACCATTACAAATTTGGGAAGCCAAATCAAACCCAAGACCAACCTGAGGAAAAAGTGCACCTTCAGTCAGTTGAGTGGGAGCCTAGTAGCAATTAGAGCATATGCCTTTGATTATCATATAATTTTGTGTTCTCATAGCAATTTACAGAAGAAAACAATAAAAGTTACTTGATTAAACGAAAAGCTTAGGTTGTTTCAATTTTGTTTTTCCTTCAGTAGTAACTATTGCATCAGAGAAAGCAAAATGATGCACAAAACACAAGTAATTACAATGCAGGAAAAAAGGGAATGACATCCAGATCAAAGCTTCCATCCAAAAACGCATTAATGTTAGAATAACAGGCAGCATGGGTTACAACAGCTTGACTTTTTACAACTGCGGCGAAGTCGTACCTTCGGACATTTGGGGCATTTAGGACGACAACTAGGAAAATAGCATTTCAATCTGCAACAACAGCAATCTGTGCATGAAGGGCACTGAAAATCACAGCAGCAGTTTTGGCTGCATGATTTCATTTTACAGCAATTGGATTGGGGACACAAGCAGCAACACCATTTTGGTAATAAGCAGCGAAAACATGAAGTGCAGTTGCATGAACAGTAGTTACATGGGCTGCAGCTGGGACAACTGCAGTTGCTGCAAGGGTGGCTGCAGCTGGGACAACTGCAATTGCTGCAAGGATGACTGCAGCTGGGGCAACTGCAATTGCTGCAAGGATGACTGCAGCTGGGACAACTGCAATTGCTGCAAGGATTGCAACTGCAGTCGCTGCAAGGATTGCAACTGCACTTGCCACAAGGATTGCTACTGCACTTGCCACAAGGATTGCTACTGCACTTGCCGCAAGGATTGCAACTGCAGTCGCCACAAGGATTGCAACTGCAGTCGCCACAAGGATTGCAACTGCAGTCACCGCAAGGATTGCAACTGCATTTGCCGCAAGGATTGCTACTGCAGTTCCTGCAAGGATTGCTGCACCTGCTACAAGGACAGCTGCAGCTGCAACTGCTGCAACAAGGATTACTGTCACAGCTGCAGCTGCAGCACCGTGGACATTTCAGATGGCAAGAGCTCCGGGTGAAACAGCTACAGCAGCAGCAAATCCATGAGAGGTTGAAGCAGGGCATTCCACTGCAACACAAAATTCAAGGAATGCAAAAACAAGTTAAGACTACGAAGCCAAAGAAAGTGTATCAGATTGAAGTTTACCATAGCAGTTGCAAAAAAGAAGGTATCAACTTCTAGTCAAACAGAAGGCATTAGGTACTTTTAAAAAATTTAAAAAATTAATCCATTTTAAATTATATAGAGGATTAACTTGGCCAGAAAAAAGAAAAAAAAAAGGAGGAAAAAGAAAACGAAGGAAGACTATGAGGAGAAATAAACACAAGACAATGGGACAAGAAAATGTTACCAGAGCCACTTCCAGAAGCGGCATGGTTTTCGATTCTTCCGGTTTCTGCTTGAAAGAGGGGGGAAAAACGATCACAACCTCATCAAAAACCTTGGATGAAAATTAGTGACAACTACAGCATTCTTACGTAGGTATTAAAGGATCAGGGTTTGCCATGACAAAATCAGAAATCCTGCAAAAGTAACATTTCTATTCATTAGCACTTGATCAATGACTTCTATGGTTCTATACATAGAAAACGAAAAAGTGACAAACAAATAGAATCTCAAATTTAAACTAATGCTGTTCAATATGATCACAAAAATTAACATACTCTTTACAGCATCTGGAAGCTGGTTGAAATGCTTGAATCGATTTTAATTCCTCCTGCTCAAATATGCCTCGTTAATAACACTTCAAAGCTCCGAATCAACATTTTAGAGGAAAAAAGGAGACCATATGGTTGAATTTTAGGCAACTTTCTCTCTGCCTAGAGAACATGCAATACAAGCTAGCAAGATAAAATACTGTAACGAGAGCATTACCTCCTGCTGGCATATTGTGGCTAACCATCTGAATTGAACAAAATCCTATTCAAACCCATAATTAAGATCGTACAACAATCACATCTTAGATTTTACCAAATTTTATCTGAATAAATCACCCACAAAAGGGCATCAATGGATCTCGAGCACTCTGTATAAGGCTTTCCATACGGTATAGCAGGACTGATATAAGGTTTATTACTAGTCAACAAGCAAAAAATGATGTCAAATTAGTACAAACACTAGAAACAAATTAACCAGAACAAGCACATGATGAATCTAATCTGTCCGTTCAAAAATTGGAATCAAAATAATCAGTTTTATCAATAAGATAAAATACCATTAAGTCTGCAGATCTAAAAGGCAGAACCTGACCTGCTTCAGCTCTTTAATTAAGTTAATATATTCTGAGAACAGTTCTTAATTTTATACCATATTTAGCTCCTTGCCTGTTACAACAATCTCATAACTAAAGTTAGTATGCTAGAGTAAAAAACTTGTTTCCCAATCCCAGCAAGCTTTTTAGCTCAATTAAACACCGTTACAGTAGGATTGTTCTTTTTCATGCTTAAATTTAATGCTTTTGTTAGTACCTGTACCTCCCCCAAAATGATCAAATGAAGACAAATGTGTACTCTGATACCCATCAAGCCTTTTTCCTCCTACTTGGAAAAGAAAATGAAAATCTCTCCAATCAAACAGAAATTGCGTTGATTTTGATTTTCAAATTTCAATGTTCAAACTACTAATCCTGTTTGTTGGCCAAAAGAAAAAAAAAAAAAAAACTACTAATCCATGGAAGAAAATATTCACTGTGAAAGTTGCATAACATGAATTAACAATTTGAAACTACAATGATCAAAAGCAGTTTACCAAATTGAAATCCCACCTCCAGAAAACCAATCTCTCTCTCAAGCATCTGAACCTTGGCCATTTCACGGCGCTTCCCATACAAGTCCGGGTACCGTGGCGGAGACTTGGGGGAAGGCGGCGGCAGAGACGGCACAGCCGAGGAACCTCCCGGAGGAGCAGCCATTTACGGGTCACCGGCTGCTGAAAAAAAGAAGCTGACTTCCTCAAATCCCACAAAAACCCAAAACAGAGCAGAGTGAAGTAAGAATGAGCAAAATTCAGAGGCAGTCTCTTCTCTTCATGACTTCATCACTTCTAGTAAGAGACAAAGGAGAAACGGCAAAGTAATGGTAGGTGTGAAAGCTAATACGAAAAATGGTTTATTTTTTGTGGCAGAGGCAGTGGCAGAGGCAGTAATTAAAGCATTCTGACATGGATAATTACGACCCAGAACTAAAAAGACACAAACACCAGAAGGGCTAAAAACCGCAGCAGTACAGTTTTACATGAATGAAATTAATGTGGGGAAGGTAAAGAGTTGTTTTTGAAAAGATCAAAACTTTCTGAAGGAGGAAGATGAAAAGATTAATGGGTATTGAAGAAAAAGAAAAAGGAAGGTAAAAAAGGAATCCATTATGGAGGAAACTGGAAGGAAGAGGAAGAAGATCTGGATTTTCTCGAGAAACAAGCAAGACCTTTGTGCATGGTAATAATGATAAATGTAATAATGGTAAAGACGGCCGTGAAAAAGCCTGCAAGTTTCTGTACGAACCCATTTAAGCAAAAGTTCAGAGATTTTGATTTTATATTTGAAATTTGGGAGGGTTTTGTTTTTTTAGAGAAGGGGAAAAACAGAGAGAGCAGAGCGTTTGGTGTATTGAGTTTTGGAGGGGTCAGGGTGGGTAAGGGTTTTGCAGAGAGGGGCGAAAGCACGATATATTAGATGAGATGGGCACGTGATACCTGCGTAGGAAAGAGAAAGGGACCAAAAGGCAGTGTGTTTTTGGGGGTTTGGAGTGTTGGATGGGCTGCTCAACAACGAATCAATTAAGCCCTCACTTTGAGAAGAAGACGCAACAGAGGGAGCAACCACTTCGAGGGGAAAATCCAAATCCCATTTCTCATAGGAAGTTGTTGAAGATTATACAGAAAACAATTGAAAATTTCTTGGATTTCTGTTTTGAATTTGATTAGAATTTAAAATTATGGACACCATAATTAGGGTGCCGACACTTTTCATTATGTATTACAAAAACCCCTTGTGAGAGCCAGGGAGTTGCCTTGTACTTTTGGGGAAGAAATGGATGCAAACTGCAAAGTGTAGTCAGCACATGAGAGAGTCCTTCGGATGGCAGAAGTTGGACTTTTTAGAACCAAACACAACATATAGGTTATTAGCGAAATTTGTCAAATATTAAGGGAGTATTTGTTTTAGCACAGTCGTTAGATATTAATTATAAAAAAATTTATTTTATTAGATGAATTATATATTAAAAAATATATATTTAATAAATTTATTAAAATATTTTAAAATAAAATTATTTTTAATAGTATTTTATTAAAAATATTTTAATAAATATATATGATAAATTATATTTTAATATATAATTAAATTGTAAAATATAAATCTTTATTAATTACTACCGACCTCTAAATAATTAATTCAAATGCTATATTAAAATTTAAAAGAGAATTGAAAACTTCTATGTAAGTTAAAGAGTTGAAACTTCATATTTAAAGTTGCTTTCATATTTTACATTTTTCTTATCTACTACCAGTCGGGGGGGGAAATAAGTCAAACAACGTTTTATTTATCGTTTTGGTTTGCATGAGGATTTGTGAGGTTAAAAATCCCAACAAAGATAATCTCTCAATTTCATGGAACTAAAACAAAACGAACAGAGGCAGGCAGAGAGATCTGTGGTGATCAAGGTTCATCGTTCCTCGTACCTTTGGTTTTTACTTTGTTACAGTATTATTCTTTGAATTTCAGTTCATTTTAGGCTCTGATTTTGTCTGTGCAATGTGCAGAAGATATCTGCTACCAGATCTATATCAGGGGATTGATAAGACTGAAGAATTGGGTATCCTATGATGTTATACTATTGATGGATAATTTTCCACTCAACAAAAAATTTATCATGTTTTCAGTAACAATATTATTCTTCTAATATGTCTGGTACAAAAAGGGAACGAATCCGTTCCATCTGAAACTGGAAATTACTTGTCATCATCTAACAATTTCTTGGTGTTTATCAAAGCAATCTTGGGTTACCATTGAGGCATACATAAGGCATATCTTAAAACTATTGAGGGTATTTGTTTTAGTATTTGTAAATTTGTAATAACTCTTAATTTTAATTAAATAAAATAAATATTTCAAATTATTATTGATAGAGGAGGGATTTCCTCATATAAAGCTTTTATACATCATATTTATATTAAATTTTAATCATTTATTTTTATATTTTTAATAATTGAGATTTATTATATTTTTTAAATAAAAAAGATAATTATTTTTAATAAATATAAATAAATTTTAATTATTAAAAATAATAAATAAAATTTATATATAAATAAATCCCTACTCTTAACAATAATGATTATTAATTAATTGATACTACTATTTTTTTTTAATAATTTGTCAAGGGGTAAGCTTGAACCCACCTAAAAGGAGAGGAAAAATGCACCTCTGGTGGTAGGATGTCGCTTGACCTAAATAGTCAGGTGTTACTATTTATTAATTATCAATTACATTTAAACAATTAATTCAAATTCACACACCATCGTACATGTTAAATCTATCACTTACATTTGAATAGTTAATTTAAACATTCTTTTATATTTTAAGTTCAATATTCATTCTTTAGCCGTAGAAATTGAGGTTTTGTAACTTTGAGATTTTAATTATAAATTCAATATTTTTACCCCATTGTTTCATTTCATCTTATAGTATATTTAATTTTTAAAAAGTAAAGAGGAGAAATAAAAAGATA